TCAATCTATGCATGTTTTCATGATTCAATTCTGCTTTAGTCGAGATTATTGATTCTGCTTTGATCCTATGAGAGCGAATACCTGATTAGGTCAATAGAGCACCATAGATTGATAGTATTGGATCGATTGCTTTAGTCGAGGGTTGATTCACTGCTTTGTATCGATTGAGAACCTCTTTCTATAGAGGGAATCTAGTTCAGAACGCCTTGATCGGTTGTTCTAGAGAAGGATACGTCCCTCTAGGCAATTGACTCAAGAGGGCCTTGTTCCTTTAGTCGAGACTCGAGGTCTAGTCAAGGATTCTCCGCATTGTGAATGAAAGTGAACCAAGTTAGAAATCATCAATTGTTAGTCTGGCTAGTGGCTAGGGGAAATCATACCTAAGTGAGTTCCCAACCTGTAATTAGATTAACTTTAACTGTAGTTTGCTAGAGTAGTTTTAGTTCTTTCATCTTAATCTGGTTTGCTAGATAATGAACGGAAGCTGAGTAATAGTAACTCTAGAGACCCATGGATTCGATATTTATTACTTGAGCCACTATACTGCAGTCCCTTTCATTGGTTACACTTGGCCTTTGTTAGGAGTTGTGTCATAAAGGGAGAGTCGCGCCTCGGCAGTAAAAACATGGGCGCGGCGCACCAGAAACCCAGTCGTGTTCTGGGCCTACCCACCCCCCCCCCCCCCATAAAAAGTGAAATCCGGCCTATTCCCCACCCCCCCCCCCCCCCCCCCCCCCCCCCCCCCCGATTGAATATTTCAAAAACACCTCTCTCCTCTCGCCAGAAAATTGGCCCTCTCCTCTTCTCTGGTGGTTTTTTGGCCAAAACTCTCTCCCCCGACCTCCAAATCAAAAACCGAGACCACCACTATGCTCCTGGCATCGGAAGTTTGGTCCCGTTTGGTGGAGGTTGGGTCGCCGGCGGCGAGTTCTCTGGCAATTTTGGAGTGCTTTTTCCTTCTCTTCACCTTCCCTGTGGTATCTACTTGCGTCTCCAGGTGTGTTTCTCATTTTATCTTTGTCAATTTTGGAGAATTGATACCTAGTGTTATAGGTGAATAACTTGAGATTTTGGCCCAAACTTGGATTATTTTGGTAGGCCGACGGAGTTTATATGCTTGAAATTATTGTTCCCATGAATTAGTTTCGCCGGCCTATCAATTGCATGTGTAGAATTGTGCTCTTGTATGCTTGGTTGGAAATTTCTTGGTGAATTGCCGATTGGATGGTTATTTGGGGTTGGTTTGCTTGTTTGTTCCACCGGGAGCCTAGTCCACTGTCCAAATCTTTCGATTTGAGGGCTCCAGGTGTGGTTTTGCCTCACATTAACCCACTTCATTGTGTGGCATTTGTGCTTTCTGTTGCTTTGCAGGATCATGGAGGACTACCTAGACCTCTTAAGCATTACTCAGCGCCACCACCTGCGGACCATCGGCACCCGCCATATCTCCGAGCACCTGCATCTGGACTTTGACGGAGTTCTCTGCCTCACTAACCCGACTTACCAGGAGCTCATTTGGGAGTTCTACGCTTCCTTCCCCCATTGATAGAGGAAATTGGCTGACCATGCTGACGCCGTCCGTTTCACACTCGGCGGGGTCGAGCACTCCGTCAGCTACTGGGAGTTGGCCACTGCACTTGACCTCAACTCCCCCCCACAACAGCGATCATGCCTTGGTTGTGGAAGAGACTTATCCCACTTCCTTTCCTGACCAAGCTTATTTCAAGCGCATCTGCCTATCTAAGAACTTGGATAAGGAGTACATACCCAGCCAGACGCGGGCCACTCTACTCCGTCCGAAGGGGCTTTGTTATCGCTTGCAAATTCACCAACGCCTCCGTCAGTCAGGATCGCTATCTTGTCTCTGGACTGGTAATCACATCCTTGGCCCACTACTACGGGGTCGACACTGCTGGCATGACCATGATCTCCACCGCGACCCCCTTCAGTGAGGCTACTCTCCGACATCATCATTTGCTCGCGCGTGAGGGGCCTCTGACATGGATCATGGGTCTCCCTAGGCCACCTGCGCCTGCTCCGGCCGGAGTCAAGTGCTGTTGGGGGGCAACGTGGCCCCCGTCGTGCCCATGCCCCCACCGGTCCTTCTGACGCTGCCCCCAGATCTTTTGCTTCCCCCGTGATCTCCGTTGCTGACTAGTTATCGGCCATTTCTCGTCAGAACGAGCAAATTCTAGCTGGCCAGGAGTGCATCCACACCCGCCTTGATCGTGGGCGAGACCGCGGCCGCCGTCTCATGTTTGGCCAACACTACATCATGCATTATCTGGGCATGGACCAGCACTCGGTCCACTACCCCTTCGTGCAGTCGCCTGGGCACGAGGATGACTACCCACCTCCCACGGGCGATGGTGGCGATGTGTTATAGTGGGGCTGTGAGGGTTATGTACTTCCTTTCTTTTCCAGACTGAGACTCCCTGTCGTTTGTTTTCCATTTTTTTTTTATCTAGATTGTAGACATGGAACTATGGTTTCTTTCACCCAGTGTGTGTGTTTTCATGACTCTAGCTCTGTGCCCTTGGACTGGTTCCCTTCTAATCCCCTGCTCTTGACCGGTCTACATTCCAGTCCCCGTTCCTGCTCTTCATTTCACGGTAACATGGTTCCCCTTCCCTCTGCTCCATTGAAGCCAATGTCGAACTTAATTGTGGGGGGGGGGTGCTTTATCTTTATTGGAACGTATATGCGTGTGCTTGGAGCCTAGTCCACTGTCCAAATCTCAAGATTTGAGGGCTCCAAGTATTGATGTTTGCATGATCATATTGGCACTGTGGTTTAATTGGTGAATCGATTGGATATGAGAATTTATGCATGATAACTGGATTGTGACTAGGACGACCTATAATGATGACTGAGACGTGCAGTAGAGTTGTGTAGGGGTTCGGTTTTCCAACTGTTTTCTTAACAACTGTGACTCGGATTGATCACTCATTTTGTATAGTCGTTCATGCATCTAGTTCAGGGAATCAGAATGGGAGATAGAGCATATAGGTAGCCATGTGAGATTTGAGCCTGCTCGTTTCTTTCTAGTGTAATAGATCCCTCTTTCATGATGTGTAGCATTCCCGTTGTTACTAATTAGGATGATGGAGGCATAGGAATAGCCCACGACCAAATTGACTGTCCTGGTGTGTCATACCCCCTAGTCCGCCCCTCTGAGCTATGTCACTTTCCTTCTTTCGGTCTATAATGAAAAATCACCCTTTTGCATCTCTTAGAGGTTCGACATAGTGGTTTTTGCATGTTCTCTGGTGTTCTGCTATAAATAATATGAGAATTGGAGGTAGTTCTTGAAAGTAGGGCATGTGTTTGAAAAATGGGGTTGCTAATTATCGCCCTAGATTTTACTATAATCGCCCTAACTTAAAACTTAAAATTACATTTATATCCTTTTATTTTTTAAATCTTTTAATTAAACAAACAACACTTTATTTCGGAAAAAAGCAACGCAAATTCTCACCTCCGTTTCTCATTCAAACAAAGATTTTCCAGGCGGAAGCAAAGTAGAGAAGAGAACCAGAGAAAGAAAAAAAGGAGGAGATGTATTCCCTAGTTGCCGCTTTTCATTCCCTTCCTCCATCTCCTTTTCAATTAAATTGTGATACACTAGGGCAAATCCAGGGTGGGGGATAACGGCGACTCCCTGCATCTGCCCTATTCGTCCTCACGGCCGATTACTACTGCCGGAGACCGAAAGTAAGCAAGATAGTCATCTCAAAGTTGGACCTGGCGGTGATGAAGTCCGGGAGCGGCTGCAGGAAGGTCAGAGATCCGAGATTCGCCTGCTCTTTTTTGCTTTTTAAGCAAAAAAAGGCGTGTGTATAAGAGAGGAGATGAGTCCCCTGCAGCGGGTGATGAACGGTCAATTTGGCTGCTTTGTTTTTCTTCCATTGCTCAGGTGATGAAGGGGCAATCGGAGAAGAAGCCGAAGCTAGACGTCAGTCTCCCTTGGAGCTGTATTTTTCTCGCGATGCGAGGAAGGAGATAGGGACTGTTTGATTTGTTTATTTTGTGTTTAGTTTTTTAGGGATACTTAAGTAATTTTACACTTTTAAGTTAGGGCGATAAAATACATTAGGGCGAGGTTTAGCCATTCAGTTGAAAAATGTGCAGAGGTGGTGTTCTCTCAAGAAATGAAAAAAAAAGAAGAAAAAAATGAATGAAAACAAAAGAGAGCCACTACTAAAAATCTGAATCATGCTCGTTAAGTAGTGTTTCTTAGCAGTCTGGCTTAGAAATACTAACAATATTGCGACCTCCTTCACTCTTGTGCTCTAAAGAATTTGATCAATGTAGAATGAAAGAAAGAAAGTGGTTTGAATGATGGTAAAAATGTTAGGTTTGGAACTATGGAACCTTGTGTATTGAATTATTCCACCACCTAAAAGGCCTTTTCCCTATGTCCAAGACCCTAGCCAGTCATCTGAACCTATGTCTAAGACCTCCGGATTAGTTAGTGGTGACACCCGATATGTGAACTCTAACATTTAGAGGCTGCCGTCATGGTGAAGAGACGTTAGGAATTGAGAGAATAAGCATGCACAATTTTCGCATCAAATTGTCTTGACCCCACTGGTCGAGAGTGAGCGATTCATTTCCTTATATTCTCTACACTCTTTACCCCGGTGAGGACCTAGACTGCTCGGTCTTGATTTTGATGTCTTGAGTTTTCTGCATGAAGTAACTGTCTTGGATAAGTGGTGAGTCAAGTCTATGTTGGTTGGTGAACAGAAGGGAGACTCTTCCTTTGCTCGACTTTGCTCCACTCGAATGTCATCTGTGGTGGTTGTCTAGGTTGCTGTTGAGGTTGTTCATGTGTTGATGACTAAAAGCTAGTATGATTCACATGTTTTGTGCCGATATGATATGACCCTAAAGCTTGGATGGTTAAGATGTTTTGAGCACCTTTTGTCTGACTTGGTTTGCTTGGGGACAGACAAACGGTTAAGTGTGGGGGAATTTGATAACGATGTATTTGCACATATTTACACCCTTATTTCTTATATGTTTGCGGCTTGTAGTCGTATATATCTTTGGGCTATTTTACGTTGGGTTGTGCTATTTTGTCACATTTCAGGTCCCAAGCATCGAAGGAAGGTATAGGCACGAGTTTCGGGGCGTTTGGAGGTCATTCGGTGAAGTTGGGGCAAGAACATGGGCAAACTACTCCAGAACATGGCTGTGTTCACTAAGGGGCACGCCAGTGCTTTTTTAGTGCACGAGCTTAATCACTGCAAGGAGCAAACACGAGTACCATTGACCCAAAACACCACCGTGTCCCCAGCCCGTGCTTTTTATGCCGAGAGCATGTCTGAGAATACTGCAGAGGAGTCTAAAATACGGGTGCAGCTGCTCTAAAACATGGCCGCGTCACTCCGTGAGCACGCCTGTGTTTTACTCGGCGCGAGCATGTATTCCACACACGAGGCAAAAACACGGGCGGGCAAAGTGAAACACGGCCGTGTCCTCGACCGTGTTTTACCCAGTGTTGGGTTAAACAGGCTGTTCCAAGACAAAGAGGGGGAGACGAATTTCCAGAGCAAAAACAGAGTCATAGAGAGAGAAAGTGCTAAGTACAAACCCTAGAGGTTATTTTGGAGCTGGGTTTCATCAATCAAGCTTAGATTTCATCATTGGAGTGAAGATTATCATCCTAAAGCAGATTCTTCCAATCATGATGAGTATGAGTGCTTTGTATTATGTTTTCCTCTCTCTCTCTCTATGGAGTAGAACTCTCTCTCACTTGGGTATGAAGAACCCTAGTTCCATGTGTTAGGGATATTGATTGTAATGACTTTTGGATGCTATAATGTGTGATTATAATCTATTGATGCATGATTCATTGAGTCAATTGAAGGCTGATAAAATATTCTTGATTTCTGCTGCAACCTAAGATAGATAGAATCTGATTAGGTTGTTAGAGCTTCTTCAATCGGTAGTAGTGAATTTATTATACGAGAGTTAGTCGATTCAATGCTTTGTACTGGAATCCAATTCCAGTAGTGGAGTTCTGTGTTAATTGCCTCAGCGTTCTATCCCAGTGAAGACTAGACGTCTACTGGGTAGTCTGTCTGATAGGGCTTGGTCAGCTTAAGAGATTCCAAGCTACTGTCAGATCTTCCGCAGTTTAATCTATAGTAAATCAACCAAAGGAAATTACAACTTTGACCTAACTAAGGAGCTAGGGGGACTCCTTCCCGAGCGACTCTTCCCTTGCTTAAGAACTTCGAACAATTTCCTGCTTTTTTACTGCTTTTGTTAGCAATCACTCTCACTACACTTAGTCCCGCTAGATAACAGGTAGTCACGGAGTAGGCAGTAGTTCTAGACCCCGGGTTGATGAATTGAACTTACCACTATTATGCATTTCCATTCTGCGATTACACTTGGTCGCAGTTTGGTGTTGTGATTTAGCGTGTCAGTTCCCCACACCATTAGTCGTAATATTCTTCCCTTCTTTTTTAGTTTTCCCTCCCACTTCTGTTGTGTTCATCACTTGTTTCTCGGATTCCTTTACAAGTCTTTCTGTGGCCTTCTCTCCATTATTGGGAACATCTTTGGATTTCTTCTCCTGCCTATTTCATTTCCTTGTTTTTCTCATGTTCCCAAACCTTGTTTTTGTCTCGTCTGGTGATCCCCATCACATTTGCCCTCCTTAACCGCCACTGGTTTTGATGTCATTACACCCGTCGTAGGGTTTTGGACTTGCTTGTCCTTCTTCTTTCCGACTGTCAACTTATCCTTCTCCACATTTGATTCCTTCGTACCAACTTCCTTCATCGTCTCTTCGTGTTCCACCTTATCATTTACCGCCTCCTCCTTTGTCTCACTTAATGTATGGAACCTATTCCCCCATTGCATATTGCCACTTCCCTTCCTCTCACCACCATTCATTCTTCCCGATCAAAATGACAGTTTCTAGACCATCATCCAATCCCCGTACGTCTGCCCTTGCAAGGGATCTTCCACTTGTGTTTCAGGAACTTCCTCAACATTCTCATCCACCCCCATCGGGTTAGTATTCATACACTGACAGAGGTTTGTAGGCTTACCATACATCCCGCATTGGCCACATATATTATATTAACCTTCATAACCAATTAATACTTTTTCCCTTCAATCTTATACTTCCCCAGCAATGGTTTTGTTAGATTGAGCTCAACACATACCGAGAAAACTTCACACGTACTCAAGCTCAGTTGCTCGGTCCAGCTGCACCGGTTTCCTATAAGTTATGCGATCTGCATGACCGGTTTCCTATCAGTTATGCGTTAGAGTTTTGAGGACACTATTTTATATTTATTCAATTTCACCCAATGTTTTGGGTATACGAGACCAAGTGAGCACATTATGGGCCTAGCTACAATGCGGTTCAACAAATATTTTCAATAATGGGCTTGTCAACCCAATCGGCCCATCTCCTTGAAAGAGTTGTGTTTGGAGAGAATATTATTGACAAAACTGACTTGATTTACATTGAGTGTACAACGTGAAGATATACAGGTGAGAAGAGGATTTTTAGGAACATAAGAAGCTCCACGTTCCATATAGATAGGAACAGAGGAGTAGTGGGAAACATGGCTCTAATAGAAATAAATAAAAGAATAAAATAAAATGGCTTTTATTTAATGACTATCTCTAATACGTCCTCTGCAAGACGGAGGAGGTATCAACGACTCCGATCTTGGACCGCAGAAGAAGGAACCGAGTGGCGGGTAATGGTTTGATAAGAAAATCTGCAAGTTGGTGAGCGGTCAGAATGTAGGAAACACGTAACCGCCCGTCTGAACGAGCTGGCGAAAAAAGTGATAATCCAGAGGCAGATGCTTCATCCAGGAGTGGAACACCGAATTGGAGCCAAAGTACGTCGCCCCAAGGTTGTCAGAGTATAGGAACGGAGGAGAAGTCACAGGAAGGTAAAGTTCAAGTAGGAGATTTTGAACCCACTCAAGCTCCACAGTAGCATTAGCGATAGCGCGATATTCGGCCTCAGTGCTGGAGCGAGCCACGGTGCGTTATTTTTTAGAGCGCCAAGAGATCAGGGTAGAGCCGAGGTAGAGAAGACATCCAGAGGTGGAAGAGCGGTCATCAAGATTCCTGGCCCAATCAGAATCAGCAAATGTCTTCAAAGACAGAGGACCAGACATGCGACGAATCGAGAGGCCATAGGTGAGAGTGCCAAATATATACCGAAGCAACCGCTTAACACACTGATAGGGATGAATGGAAGGAGCATGCATGTACTGGGAGAGCTTATTAACAGAGAAAGCGATATCAGGGCGAGTGTAGACCAAGTACTGTAGAGCACCCAGGACCTAACGAAAACAAGTGGCATCAATGGAGGGGATGCCGTCAGTGAGAGAGAGAGAGAGAGAGGTAGAAGCAGCCATGGGCGTGTCGAAAACCTTGGCATCGGTCATCAGAAACCGATGAAGAATATCCACCATATACTGACGCTGAGAGAGAGTATAGCCAGTGGAGGTAGGAATAAACTCAATGCCCAAAAAATAGTTGACATCACCGAGAGCCTTGAGAGAAAACTGATGAGAAAGCGCCTGCTGAAACCGGGAGAGCAGGCCAGAGTCGCTCCCGGTGAGAAGATGAAGATCATCAACATAGGCCAAAAAATATAGAAGCGCCCGACCACGAGAATACACAAAGAGAAAGGCATCAGAATGCGTCCGGTGAAATCCAAACTCGAAGAGGAAAGCACTCAAGGCCGTGTACCATGCTCTAGGAGCTTGGAGAAGCTCATAGATAGCACGGCAAAGACGAAAACGTGGTGCAGACGATCATGATCAACAAAACCAGGAGGCTGCACCATATAGACTTCTTCCTGCAAGGGACCTTGAAGAAAAGCATTATTGACATCAAATTGAGTGATATGCCAACCTTGAGAAAGAGCCAATGTGAAGATAGTGCGAACAGTAACCTGCTAAACCATCGCGCTGAAAGTATCAGTGAAGTCAATGCCAGGATGCTGATGAAAGCCCTTGGCCACAAGCCGAGTTTTGAAGCGTTCAATAGATCCATCAGAATGATGTTTAATGCAAAAGACCCAACGATTACCAAGAAAAATATAATGAGACAACCGAGGAACAAGATCCCAAGTATGATTAGTGATCAAAGCTGAATTCTCAAGAGAAAGAGCATCAGACCATTCCGAATAGCGGAGGGCTTCTTGAACCGAACGTGGCTCTAGGGGCAGGGGCCCAGACTGCCGCTGGAAATAAAAGAGGAGCTTTTTGGCTGATATATGCCATCCTGGGCTCGAGTACCCATGGAATGCGTGCGCTGGACAGGGGGTTGTGGGCCAATAACAGCTAGTGGGCCAGATGGACGAGTGACAGGGGCAGAGGGCCCAGGCGGTGGAGGCCCAAGAGTGGGGGCCGATGGGATGGAGCGAGGCCTAGGAGGCGTGCCAGGGGCGGAAGGCCTAGTGGGCGAGAGCCCAAGTGATGAATAACCAGGCAGGGGAGCTGCGTCTGCTAAGGAGGCCGGTGTCTAGGGATGTGTAGTGGGCAGTGGGGGCCGAACAGGAATGATGGTGATGGAAGTGGATAGATCAAGCAGCCAAGAGTCGGGGAAGAGGTGTGTGGAGCAGTGGAGTCATGAAAACCTGGAAAGTTAGACTCAACAAATACAATATGGCGAGAGATAAATAAACGGTGAATGTGAGGATCAAAGCACCGATAAGCACTGCGCTGAGGACAATATCCTAGAAAAAGACAGGGATGAGAGCGTGGATCGAGCGTATGGGAAGAGTAAGGCCGAAGCTATGGATAGCAAAGACAACCAAAAACACGAAGTTTATGATAGTTGGGAGTTAAATTAAAAAGAAGAGTGTAGGGAATTTTACCACGTAAGGCCAAAGAGGGTAGACGGTTGATAAGATAGATAGCTGTGGAAAAAGCAAAAGAACAAAAGGAATTGGGAAGTTTAGTGTGGTGGAGGAGGGTAATACTAGTCTCAACCAGATGACGATGTTTCCGTTCAGCAAGACCATTATGTTCGGTGTGTGGGGTGGTGTGAGAAGATGAGTAATGCCATTATTGAGTAAATCAGAACGCAATTTTTGGTAGAAAAACCTGGAGACATCAGATTTATTCCCTAAAGGATAATACCAAGTATAACGAGTAAAATGATCAATAATAATCAAGTAATAGCGATAACCATCAATTGAGATAACATGAGCCGGAACCCAAACATCCGTATACAAAAGATCAAATGGTCGAGTGCTTGATAAAGTGGAAATAGAAAATGGCAGTTTATGGCTTTTATTGAAAAGACATGCATCATATGGTGAGCTAGGTAGGGAGGACGAAACATGGAGAGAAAATGACCGAAGAATAGTGGAAAGGGATTGATGTGAGGGATGGCCGAGACGAGAATGCCAAGAGTTTGCAGAAGTTCGAGTAGTAACAAGAGCTAGGCAAACATGCTCCACTTCTCGTGGTAGTTCAAACACATCACCGTTGTTTTCCCCCTCAGCAGTGGCGCCCCCGCGCGAAGATCCTTGACAATAAAATGAGTGGCAAAAATTTCCACAGAGACAGGATTAGTTTGACAGAGCTTGGCCACTGATATTAAATATTTCTTGATAGCCGGTACACATAAGAAATCTCATAAATGAAAAATATTGGAACCAAAAGAGACATTGGAAGAACCAACGTGGGAGATAGCCAAACCTGATCTATCACCAACTAATGTCTCATTTGGGCCCTGTATAGTCTGAATAAAGAGATAAGTGGCTCAAATCAGATGTAACATGATGAGCAGCAACAGAGTCCATGAGCCAAGGCCAGTGGAGTTGGACGGGCCAGGAGTGGAGGTATGATGAACTTGGGCCCGAGAGAATGCCTGGCGGGCTTGGGGAAATAGCCTAAAACATTGATAGACCGTGTGTCCAGGACGGTCACAATATTGACAGGTAACAGTGGGCCACGAGTTCTATTGGACTCAGGAGAGGCGACTGGGCCACAAGACTGCTAAAATGGGCCTGGATGAAACCCTGCTGTGGGCGATTGGAGGATCACGGGGAAAAGGGGCCGTCGCTGGAAAAGGAATGCCCGCCGCTGGAAAGAGACTGCCCACCGCTATCTCCAAGAACACCGTCGCTGCTTCCCCGGTGAGAGTGCCCCTGAGAAAAGAATGTGGTGGGAATAGTCGTGGCTCGTGCCTGCACATGCAGATCTGCCTCAAACTCTACTAGGGAACAGCAGCAGATACATAGGAGTATAATGAATCAGATATGGAGCAGCGAAGAGCATGTAGAATAAGTTTGTCTTGGCAATACCAGCGGCAATAAGCGGGATTGGGAGGGGTGATTGTGTCTTCCATGATCATTTGAGCAGGAGCCACGCCTGAAACATCAATAAAACCAATGAGATCCAATCCCATAAGCAACGTTTCAAGTTGTGAACGTCGGGAGTGAAAGTTTGTTGGAGTGAGCTTCAAGGGAAATTGGGCAGCGGGATTGCAAGTAATAATGGAGTCCTCATTCGCAACAGATTGATTAGCACTTGAAACCGCAGAACCAGACATGATGTCGAGAAGAGAAAGAGCTCCGAAACAGGGGAAGGAAATTGATTGATAGTGGATCGAGTCTAGCAATCAACACATAATTATAGTTAATCTTTAACATAAATACATATTCACCTGGCAAAAAATATATGTCAATGGTATGGGGTTAATATATCCAATATAATGTATGAATTTTATCTAAATTAGACGTATATATGTTGTGATCTACAATTATACATTCTACAAATATAATTATACATAGGAACAATATTGAGATTTATTTTTCATATGTCTAAAGGGAGGAATATATAGTTGTTGAGTTGTTATTCAAAGTATTATGTGTATATGATATATATTAGATATATAACTAATTACTTAAATGGTTGATTTGGTTTTATTAGTTAGGAGTATCTGAAACCAAACCAAACCACCTAAACCAAACAAGCTAAAAATTACCAAACCAAATTATCCAAATAGTACCGATTAAAATGGTTACCACTCCATTTGAACATCCCTAAATCACAGTATTCACCACTGAGATTTCAGGTAAATAGCAATTTAGTCACTAAAGTTTATTATTATAACAAATTGATCAGCATTAATAGTAACAACATACGTGATGTTTGTGTCCAAATCAAATATATAAGTATGATCATCGCTTATATAGAGAATGTTATAAAACTAATTGAAAATGTAAACAACTACAAGAGAATATTAGAGAGGGAAAGACACAAGAGAAGTGAGGGGAATAGTTCGTCTTATTCATACTCCATTTGTGATACAATAGTGTGCTCTATTTATAGGCACCCTTTGGTAACCACTACATCCTTACATCAATGCATATGAATTAGAGATAATAATATAGGAATGGGAGTTACATGTAACACCCAAGTGAGCATCTAATGTGGTAGGCCATTGGTCATCCATATATAAATATTTACATAATACTCCCCTTGGATGACCACTAGATTGCATTATTACGCTATCTTATTCTGCCTCATTAAAAACCTTACCAGGAAAACCCAGTGGGAAAAACCATGGTTAAGGGAAAAAGAGTGCAGCGCGTATATGCTCCCCCTCATGACCACATCAACTCGGGTCTTTGAGTCGTCGAACTCCAATTTCACGAACAAGCTTTACAAAGATTGTCGTTGGGAGTGACTTGGTGAATAAATCTGCTAGATTCTCACTTGAACAAAATTTTTGAACAATTATTTCACCACTCTTTTGAAGATCATGAGTGAAAAAGAACTTGGGTGGAATATATTTTGTTCTATCTCCTTTAATATATCCTTCCTTTAATTGAGCAATGCATGCTGCATTATCTTCATACATGATCGTCAGGATCATTTTTCCTAGAGATAGTCCACACGATTCTCTTATGTGTCGAATTATAGATCTTAACCAAACACATTCACAACTTGCCTCGTGAATTGCTAGGATTTCAGCATGATTGGATGATGTGACTGTTATAGTTTGTTTTGTGGATCGCCACGAAATAGCTGTACCACCACAAGTGAACAAATATCCTGTCTGAGATCTACCTTTGTGGGGATCTGAGAGATATCCTGCATCTGCATATCCCACTAAATCCATCTTCGATGCACTCGAATAGAACAAGCCCATATCTGTCGTTCCTCGAAGGTAACGGAGTAAATGTTTAACTCCATTCCAATGTCTTTTAGTGGGAGAACAGCTATATCTTGCCAATATATTCACAGCAAACGATATATCGGGTCGTGTGTGACTTGCTAGATACATTAATGCTCCTATTGCACTAAGATATGGCACTACAGGTCCAATCAGATCTTCATCACTTTCTCGAGGTCTAAATGGATCTCTTTTCACATCAAGTGATCTTACAACCATTGGATTACTCAATGGGTGTGATTTGTCCATATAAAATCGCTTAAGCACCTTTTCAACATATCCTTCTTGATGCACAAAAATACCATCCTTCAAATGTTCAATATGTAATCCAAGACAAAACTTTGTTCTTCCTAAATCTATCATTTCAAACTCTTTCTTCAAGCAATCAACATAAACTGATATTATAACAAACTCACTACCCGATCTCTTTAGAAAAACACATGGACAAATAGGGTCACTCTTGTATCCTTCTTTCATCAAATATTCATTGAGACGATTGTACCACATTCGTCCAGATTGTTTCAATCCATACAAGGATTTATTCAATTTGATAGAAAAATTTTCTCGATAATGTGTTTTGTTTGTTCCTGGCAAAGTGAATCCTTCAGGGAGTTTCATATATATATATATCATTCTCAAGTGATCCATACAAATAGGCTGTCACAGCATCCATTAGATGCAGATCTAGTCCTTCTCGAACTGCTAGACTAATCAAGTATCGAAACGTAGTTGCATCCACCACAGGGGAGTATGTCTCCTCATAATCAATGTTAGGTCTCTGTGAGAATCCTTGTGCGACAAGACGTGCTTTATATCTCACGACTTCACCCTTTTCATTTCTTTTCCGCACAAAAACCCATTTGTATCCCACTGGCTTCACGTTTTCTAGTGTAAGGACTACCGGTCCAAAAACCTTTCGCTTTGAAAGCGAGTTTAATTATGCCTCAATGGCCTCTTTCCACTTTGGCCAATCATCTCTTGACTTGCATTCATCAATAGATCTTGGTTCATGATCCTCATTTTCATTCATCACACTCAATGCTGCAGCGTAAGCAAAAAAATCGTCAACGATTATTTTACATCGGTTCCAACATTTTCCATCCAAGACATAATTGATTAAGATCTCTTCATTATCAAAACTTTCAGGTACCTGATGTTCTTCGGGAACTACAATCTTAGTTATGCTTTGGGACTCTTCTTGACCTTTCATATCCTCGATTTGACCAACTTGATTCATAGCTCCTTTCCTTTTTCGAGGATTTTTATTCTTGGAACCTACTGGTCTACCACGCTTCATTCATGGTTTAGATTCATTTGCAATTTCAGATTGTCCAATAGGGACATCAACTTTCATTGGAGCATTTACAGCTGGTATGTGTGACTTTGTCACTCTCTTCTAGTCAGTAAAAGAATCCGACAGTTGGTTTGCTAAACTTTGTAAATGAATTATCTTTTGAACTTCCAGTTCACATTGTCTAGTACGAGGATCAAGGTGAGATAATGATAATTCATTCCAACAAATATCTTTTCCAAGCTGTTTGCTCTCACCCCCTAATTTTGGAAAAACTGATTCGTCAAAAATGACAATCAGCAAAACGAGCAGTGAATAAATCTCCCGTCAAGGGTTCTAATTATTTTATGATTGATGGGGACTCATATCCAACATAAATTCCCAACCTCCTTTGAGGATCCATCTTAACACGCTGTGGTGGAGCAATAGGGATGTAGACGACACACCCAAATATTTTTAGATGGGAAATATTAGGTTCTGACCAAAAACCATTTGCAAGGTGGAAATTTCATGATAACTTGTTGGCCTTATGCGAATTAATGTTGCCGCATGCAATATAGCATGTCCCCAACAAGAAATTGGCAAGCTTGTTTTCATAAGCAATGGTCTTGCAATAAGTTGCAAACGCTTAATAAATGATTCTGCAAGGCCATTTTGTGTATGAACATGTGCTACAGGATGTTCAACATCAATCCCAGTGGACATACAATAGTCATTAAAAGTTTGTGAAGTAAATTCACCAGCATTATCTAGACGTATTTTCTTGATTGGAAAATCAGGAAAATGTGCTCGTAGTTGCATCAATTGGGCAAGTAATCTAGCAAACGCCAGGTTGCGAGTTGATAGTAAGCACACATGTGACCATCTAGTTGATGCATCAACTAAAACCATAAAGTATCTAAATTGTCCACATGGTGGGTGAATTGGCCCGCATATATCACCCTGTATACGTTCTAAAAATGTGAGAGATTCACTCCTTACTTTCACAGGTGATGGCCGTATAATCAACTTGCCACGAGAACATGCAACACATGGTACATCTTTAAACTGATAAATTTTGTGATCTTTCAATGGATGTCCACATGTATTGGCAATGATTTTTCGCATCATAATCAATCCGGGATGGCCTAACCGGTCATGCCAAACTATAAAATTATCAAGATTTGTAAACTTCTGGTTTACCACTGCATGTGTTTCAATTGTACTAATAAACGTGTAGTACAACCCAGAAGAAATAGCAGCCATTTTCTCCAACATGTATTTTTTATCGGAGACCATATTTGTTATCATAATATACTCTTTACTCTCTTCTTCCTTTTTCTCAATATGATATCCATTTCGGCGAATATCTTTGTAACTCAATAAATTTCTTTGAGACTTTGAAGAGTATAAGGCTTCATTGATATATAACTTGGTTCCTTATGGTAACAATACACTAGCTCTTCCGGAGCCTTCAATTAAATTTGTACTTCCAGATATAGTACTAACATTTGCTTCTCGCATTTCAAGATGAGAAAAATATTTCTTATCCTTCAAGATTGTATGTGTCGATGCACTATCAATAAGACACACATCATGGTTTTTGATCTTGGTGCCAAGCATGGGAATATTCATTCTTCACAAAGATAGAAAGTAAATAAATATAAGAAATTATCTCTAAATAAATATAAAAATAATGACATGATTATAATAGATGAAATTAAACCACATAGGGATTATAAAGAGAAATTATATTAAACTGACACATTAATAGGAAAAACACACTCAAGGAAAACGACAAAGAAAGTGAAATTTCAAATGGGAAACCTAAACTTTTCACTTGTGAACAAAGCGACAACGAAATAGAAATTTCAAATGGAAATGCTATGTTTTTCACTTGCGAACATTCCCATCACCAATCAGGTGATCTATTTTTCCTTCAGGGTGGGCAAAGAAGTCGGACACATCTAGATGAGTAGCATCATTATAGTCTTTTCCTGAATCATCTTCCTCAAAAATACAATTGGTTTCTATCTTCTTCCCTTTCAATGATTCTTGGTAGAGGTTAACCAAGTGCTTTGGCGTACTACAGGTACGAGACCAATGACCTTTTCCACCACAACGATAACACACATTTTTGACGTGTTTGTTACCATGAACACTTTGTTCCTTGCTTCTTCTACCATCATTTTTTCCACTTCTGGGGAAAAATGGGCTTTTGGAACTTTCACCACGACCATTACCACGACCAAGATCTCGGCCACGGCCACGGCCTCGAGCATGAGCATGACCACGCCCACGTCCTCGTCCATATCCACGTCCATGTATTTGCCCATAAGGATATTGGGTGAACGTCGCCGCATTCGCTTCTGGGAATGGGGCGGGACCAGTAGGACGGTATTGCTGCTGTAGGAGCACATTAGATGCATGAAAAGTGGAGAATGTTTTTTCCAACATATCTTCATCGGTAATATTTTCTCCACATAACAGTAGTTGTGAGATTATTTTGAATAACTCCGAATTATAATCACTCACAGATTTAAAATCTTGTAACCTCAAATGCATCCAATCATAACGAGCCTTAGGAAGAATCACAGTTTTCTGGTGGTCATACAACTCCTTCAAATTAGTCCACAAAATAAGTGGATCTTTGACCGTAAGATACTCATTCTTCAATCCCTCGTGGAGGTGATGTCGAAGAAAGATCATTGCTTTAGCTTTGTCTTGATCTTATGCTTCATTGCCCTCTTTAATCGTGTCTCCAAGACCGTTGGCAGCTAAATGAATTTCAGCATCTAGCACCCATGATAGGTAATTCTTTCCAGTGACATCAAGAGCCACAAACTCAAGTTTTGAAAGATTCGACATACTATCATAAAAATATTCACAAATTAAAGTCAAAATTCAATAAATAAATATAGATTACTATCAAGACAAACGACTTATGTGACCCATGATATATCAATTTGATATTTTTACAAATATATAAATAAATTCGAATTTCAAAATAAAAAAAAATTATAAAGGCAAAATATATTAAGATTTTTATACTACTACGAAGTATATATGATCATGACTTGCTAAAAAAAATTATTAAGAAGGAAATTATACCTTTGCATTCTCAAACAAAGATTTCATGTGTTGATTAATAAAGGAAATTATGTAAATTGAAATAGGACAATAAAAGAAACAATTTGGGAGAATCGACATACCTTGAGCAGAACAATTGTGGATTTAACCTTTTCAAAAGGAAGAGTCTCGTGCTGATAACGTGTTATAAAACTAATTGAAAATGTAAACAACTACAAGAGAATATTAGAGAGGGGAAGACACAAGAGAAGTGAGGGGAATAGTTCTTCTTATTCATACTCCATTTGTGATACAATAGTGTGCTCTATTTATAGGCAGCCTTTGGTAACCACTACATCTTTACATCAATGCATATGAATTAGAGATAATAATATAGGAATGAGAGTTACATGTAACTCCCAAGTGAGCATCTAATGTGGTAGGTCATTGGTCATCCATATATAAATATTTACATAATAGAGAATAATATATGGACTTTAATTAGCATTATTGATCTAAACCGAACAAATTAGTCGATTTGATTTCAACTCATACTACTCGAACCATTTCAATTTTTCTTCCTCTTACTTGATATCTATTTAGAATGCTCTATGATCATCCTCATAAATAATTTGAGTAATTTTGACATACTAGTCAGAATAATTTGATTGAAAAATTTGATAGAAATAGGTCGTAGTCTCCTAGATGATTCTTTATTATATTAGTTGAACGTATTGCGGAATCAAATAAGGAAGGTAGCTCCTCAGCAGTTCCACAAAAAGTTTACTCCCTCAGTAAAAAACACAGCTTCCAACATTACTTTCCATTATGCCACAAGCTAATACATGTATAAAAAAAAAAGATGATACAAAGTACAAACAGAAAGAAAAACCAATCTAATGGTGTGGTAATTCTTTTTTCTAGCCCCTACAATACTTGCTCAAAATTGTGGCCACGGTTTTCTTTACCTATGGCTCCTCCCTGCATTGTAGTTTCCCCCTCAGCTCACAGCATCTCTCACACAACACTGAATGCAGATTGAATGGTGGACGAGACTCGAGATGCTATAGTCTGGGTTGCAAACTGCTGAAAGTGCTTCTTCGCATCTGCAAATCCAGAAACAGAACAGTGCATCCATCACTTTCATTAAGAGTGCGAAAAGCAATTTACTTCATTGACAAAAACTGCAGATCCCGCTGCAACAAAAGGTAAATGATGCACTGATGTGACAAGAAACTCATTAGTTATATAGTGATGAAAAAAAGAGCTTTGGTATAGGTGAACAATGAGTCTCTCCATTTGAATACTGAAGTGGACAGAACAGTACATGCATCACTTTCATTAAGAGTGCGAAAACAATTCAATTCTTCATAGACCAAACTGCAGGTATCACGGCACAAAAGGTAAATGATGAACTGATGTAGGGAGGAACTTTTTAGTTATCAAGTGATGAAGAAGAGAGCTTCGGTAGGTGGACAATGAGTGCCTCCATTTGAGTAGTGAATGGACAGCCTAAGAGGGAGCAAACTGAAACTTATATCACCATTCAAAGACAGATATGGCAGGTAGTGGTAAAGTATTCACCTTTGCGGCACTTGATGAAACCAATGATGTTTGCAACGCTGAGAGTTAGGCATACACCGATGATGAGGCAGTAATCAGCTTGGAACCTTATCAGAGAAAAGATCCCAAGGAACACCCACAAAACTGCCTATACATACATTGCACGAATCGGAGTACGAAAACGATAAGCTCTACTAGCAGTAGTAGACTAATAGTAAGAATGTCGATTGGCTTGATTTTCACCATTTTTCTTACTGGCTTACCGTGAGATAGAGTGTCCACCAAAATAGCCATGCATCTTTCTTGTTCATTCGAGCCAACGACTGATCCAAAGCGAAAAACGAATTCATGAAATCACAACTACCATTGAATCGCGCTCAAGCAAGATAAACCCTCAATGGAAGAGAAGTAGAGCAAATGTGATATGAACATGTGCTTTGAGATCGAAGTTACAGTACAACCAGACCTCTTGGTCGAGGGATTCGAATCTCCACACGCTCTCGCCGAGGTCGTCTATCTCATTCCACCACCTTAGGCCGACCAGAATCCTGCCACTAAATTCTTGACCACCCAGAAATCAAGTGCCGCCAAAAGAACAGTGACCAAGAATATGATCACGTAGTTGTTGATGAAGAGGGCAGAGAATATGTAGAATGCCAACGATGCAGCCTGCTAGAAAATCGATGCCAACCCAACACAGCGCATTCAATCATATGACCTAATTGAGAAGTGAATTCAGTAGTAGAAAAGAGTAACGGCCAATTGGAATACAACCTTGAAAAGAACATGAAAGAGGCAAGTCCTCGGGTTGGCGTAATTCTCCTCAGGAGGCTTCCAAACGCACAGAAGAGAGGGTTAGGTGAACACTAAACAACGATCACCCCAATTCAATTTGAGATGAATTCATGAACATCCATTCCACTTTTTGTTAACGAATTGAATCCGGCAATCGGATCGATTTGGATACAGCGTCAGAGAGTGGACTCACCGGATTGAGATTCATTATTGGGTTTCGTGATGGTAGATTGGAGAGATGGCTATGGCGGATGATGCTCCTCGTTTCTTTGCTTTCTTCTTCGTCGTCGTCTTCTTCTGGTTCTTGTTAAGGATATGATTAACGTGAAGCTTTGTGCTCTCCTCGCCGAGCTTCATGGCGAGCGAAGGATGAAGAAAGAAGAAGACGACGACGACGGATACTCTCTCGTAGAAGGCCCAAAGTAACGGGCCCATTAAAATGTGGGCTAAGGTCTTCTAAATTTGGGCCATTCCCCGCCTGGGATCCTCGAACTCTCTTCCCCTGTTTTGTGGCGAGATGCAAAGCAAAGGAAAAGCAACTCCTCTCTGTCTTGTTGTTTTGCTGATTGTGGTGTGGATTATCAGTGGAGGGAAGAGCGATGAGAGGTTGTCATTGTTTGTCTTATCCCATTGAATGTTTTGAAAGACTGAAACTGAAGAAGATCATGGGCTGTGGTTCAGATAACAGAACAACAAATTTTAGCAGACCCAGAAAAGGGCAGGGAAAGAAGAGGAGGAGGAGGTGTCGTGAATATCCATGGCGAGAATGGTTTCACTACAGCAACCAACCACTCAGTCTCACCATTCTTTCTCTCTTCTCACTTCATCTCTCTCTGATTTCAATGGCGCACGACTCCAATCTCAGCTCCAGGTCCTAATCTTATTGTCTACTTTAACTTCTCCTTGTTTTTGTTTTCCCAATCGCAATCAGAACATGAATTCACCCTTTCATGGCCTGTGTTTTTGTTTGTACTTGCTCAGTTCAAGAGAAAGCTGGGTATGCAAAACAAAGGAGCATTTCAGGTCAGTGCCTCCAGCAGCTCCAAGAACATTCTGATCATGGGTGGCACTCGATTCATTGGTATCTTCCTGTCCAGACTTCTTGTTAAAGAGGGCCACCAGGTAGTATTCTATTTTCTTCCTTATCCCTCGTTTTTCTTCTTGTTTTGTTATTTCATCCATACCCAGCTGAGAATTGAACCCTTTTGGCAGGTGACCTTGTTTACTAGAGGGAAGGCACCGATTGCCCAGCAATTACCTGGGGAATCAGACCAGGATTTTGCTGACTTCTCATCTAAAGTATTCATTGAAACAGCCACAATCCCCATTCATAATGACTAGCTAGTGTGTATGTAAGTGATGACTGGTCATTACTGATGCTCATTTATGTTTGCTCTCTATGGTAAGATATTGCATTTGAAAGGAGATAGGAAAGACTCCGACTTTGTGAAGACCAGCCTTGCAGCCAAAGGCTTCGATGTTGTCTATGATATCAATGGTAGCATTATATAAACTTACCTTGACTTCGTGTCTGGTTAAAGCCCCCTTCTTGAATTCATTCTCTGTTTGACATTTCGTTTCCTTTCTCTTTGTATTTTGCAGGACGTGAGGCTGTCGAAGTTGAACCCATCATAGAAGCCCTACCAAACCTTGAACAGTAAGGCTCTCTAGCCAGTGTGATGAACCTTAGTTATCCTTTATACCGAAGAGCTCTGCATATGATGATTGTACAAAGCATCAGCATAACAACTAAATATCCACTGGTAGTGAATATAAAGTCTTCTCATATGGGGGGTTTTGGGCTAATTTTCAGGTTTATTTACTGCTCTTCAGCTGGAGTCTACCTAAAATCTGATCTCTTACCCCACTGCGAGGTTGGTGATATACTTTCCTTTTCTTCTGGGAATCTGATTTACTTGACGAGCACATGATTATCATTGTGATTCTTGCTGGCTGATGTTGAGAGGGTTATGATTTTAGGTAGATGCTGTTGATCCCAAGAGCAGGCACAAGGGGAAGCTCGAGACAGAGAGCTATCTCGAATCGACGGGAGTCAACTGGACATCTATAAGGCCAGTCTACATCTATGGACCTCTAAACTACAATCCTGTAGAGGAATGGTTCTTCCACCGGTTGAAGGCTGGTCGCCCCATCCCAATTCCCAACTCCGGCATCCAAATGACCCAGCTCGGCCATGTCAAGGTTTGTGTAAAATTGCTTCCCTCTAATCACACATTTGATATTGCAGAAAGGGAGATAAAAACAAATGATTCTTGGTTGTTAATATACAGGATTTGGCAAAAGCATTCATTACAGTGCTTGGGAATGATAAGGCCAGCAAGGAAGTGTTCAATATATCTGGTGAGAAGTATGTTACGTTTGATGGGTTGGCTAGAGCATGCGCCAAGGTAATGACCCTTAATGAAAGAGCAACATGATATCGTACTATTCCAAAAGCTGCGTTGATATGACAAAAACTGAAGCATCACTGCTGCATTTATCTTGCAAGGCTGGTGGGTTTCCAGAGCCTGAGATTATTCATTACAATCCGAAGGAGTATGATTTCGGGAAGAAGAAGGCATTCCCATTCCGCGACCAGGTACATTCGTAAACTGTGAAATGTGACACTCTGAACCGCACAATTTTCTTCAGAAGACGCCTGACTGATTTGATTTTGTTTCTGGGGATGATGAATGTTTGCAGCATTTCTTCGCGTCCATAGACAAGGCAAAACATGTCCTAGGATGGAAGCCAGAGTTCGACCTGGTAGAGGGCCTGACAGACTCATATGAGCTAGATTTCGGGAGGGGAACGTTCAGGAAAGAGGCTGATTTCACGACGGACGATATCATTCTTGGAAAATCTCTTGTGACAGCATAGAAGATCCTGTTCCTTGATTAGCTTGGCGGAGTCTGTTCTATACTTCTAGTACTACTACACCTTTTGTTGTTCTGTTCATAGTTGTAACTATGTGCATGGTTGTTTCCCTTTGTTCTTCATGTCTCCACTAGTTCTTCAGCATTAGTTGAATTAATGTTATTACGAAGTGGAGATGTAGAACGAATGGGGCATTCACCATAAGCAAGAACAATGGAAAATGATGACTTTCAACTCTAGTTATAGCTCAATGGTCATGTCCTTCAACACGGAGTCTGTTTTTTCTTCCCTTCACCCAATATAAGAACAACATCCTGCAATTCACTAACAAGCCAAAATAAAAAATTCAAATGAACACGAGTTCACATAAAAAATAGAAAAGGTTTTAGGCACCATACTAGGGGTAAACTAGCTAACAGTAATTTTTTTTTTTTTTTTTTTTTGCCAATAGATATTCCGGAAGGAATAGCAAGATACGAATATACAGGGCCAAATCAGGCTAAATCACAAGAGAGAAGAAGGGAACGTTGGTCAACCAGACGCTGAACCAACGATAAGAGGGCTTGCTTTGCCACGATATGGGCGGCCCTATTATACCTAAGCGGGGCGAAATGAAACGAAACACTTCGAAAAGATGCTCGCGAAAACCTGAACTTCCTTCAGAAGGGCACCTCCCAAAACGTGATTCGAGTCCTTCGCCATGACCATTCGGATGAGGACCTGCGAATCACCACAAAACAAGACATTAGATACTGAATGATTAATACACCACAACATGGCATCTCGCAACGCCATTAGCTCAAGGAGAAAGGGATCAGAAACTTCCACGTAGAAACGACCAAACGCAAAGTTGATAGTATGGTGGTGCGCAAACCCCACGAATCCAACCGCTCCCCCAACAGAAGCCTTGGTGGCACCATCAAAATGAACGAGTGTCGATTGGCCAGGAATAGAAGGAGGAACGGACGCGTGCTCAGGATGAGATGAAGTGGTGTGACCTCCAATCCGAGAGGGGCCTGAACGATTGCCCTGCAGAATGATCAATTAGAGAAGACACTTGGGTATACTGAAGGACAGCCTGGGGCAACAGCTCGGGTCGACATGGAGGAGAGATGGGCAGCCATATGTCATTGGTTATGTTAACAAACGTTCCTGAGCCAATGAGCCAGCGCATCCCTTTCATAAGCAACTCACGTCCTTCTAGTATCCCCTTCCATGCCCACGAAGGCCAAGCTCCCGGAGTAGCCTGCAAGAAGGAAGAATGAGGGAAGTATTTACCCTTATACATAACAGCCAGGGTACTATCAGGAAATTAAAGAATATGCCACGCTTGTTTAGCTAGTAGTGCTTTGTTGTTGCTGTCCATGTCTCGAAAACCGAGCCCGCCCTTGCGTTTAGGCCGACAGAGTGACCTCCATGACGTCCATTTCATCCCTTCGTTGCGATCTTGTTGGGCCCACCAAAATCTGGCTAGATGTCCATTCAACCGCCTACATTGAGTGGACGGTAGACGAAAGCTGAGCATAGCATAGTTGGGAAGAGCTGTAGCAACAGATTTGAGTAAGACTTCCTTAGCTGCTAGAGAGAGAGCTTTGGATTTCCATTGCTGCAATCTGGTCACCAATTTATCCTCAATGAACTGAAAATTTTCTTGTTTTGACCTAGCTATTCTCGAAGGCAAGCCAAGATAGCGATCTTGGGGGCCGGCAGCTGAGACTCCAAGAAGAGAAATTATGGCAGCAGCTTCTGACGGCAAGGCATTACTACTGAAAGTAACAGAGGACTTCTGGAGGTTTATTTTTTGCCCACTTACCTGTTGATAAGATGTAAATAAACTAAGAAGATTATGACATTCAGGAAGTGAAGCACGGATAAAAAGGTAAGTGTCATCTGCGAAAAACAAGTGGGACATCACCGGGCACCGTCTATGAATGCGAAGACCATGGATAAACTGAGATTGAACCGCCTGAGAGAGGAACGAAGAGAAACCTTCAGTATAGAGGGCAAATAGAAAAGGGGATAGGGGGTCACCTTGACGTATTCCACGTTCCGGGCGAAAATAACCGTAAGGGGAGCCATTAATTAAAACTGAAAATGAAACTGAAGTAACACATTCATGTAACCAGGTCAACCATTGATCACAGAATCCTAAGCTTCGCATAATAGCAAATAAAAATTCCCACTCGACCCTATCGTAAGCCTTCTCCATGTCTAACTTGAGGGCCATCCATTTCTCACGCCCTTGAGTTTTGGTTTTTAAGAAATGCAAGACCTCTTGGCCTAATAGGATATTATCGGAGATTAACCTGCCCTTGACAAACCCATTTTGAAAAGGGCTTACAACCCGAGGAAGGATCTCACCCAACCTAGCTGTTAGAATCTTTGAAATTACCTTGTACGGAACTTGACATAAACCAATAGGGCGCATTTGACGCATAGATTCTGCATTGGGAACTTTCGGGAGCAAGGAAATCCAAGTAGGATTGAAATTAGGAAGGAGGTGACTAGTATGGAAAAATTCCAGCACAGCAGCAACTACCGAATCTCCTACTAAATCCCAAAATGATTGGAAGAAGATACCTGTAAACCCGTCAGAACCGGGAGCTTGGTACCCACCGATGCTGAACACAGCTGCGCGAACGTCTTCCTTCGACACCGGAGCAGTTGACTCGACTCTACTGTCACCCTAGGAATTGGCCAAGTGAAACCACTTCCAAAAGCGTAGTATAGCGGGTTTGGGTTTAATTATCAACCCGGGTCCTAGATGTGATGACTACTCAGTGAATTCTTGTTATCTAGCAATGAAACTGGCATGCAAGTCTAAACTATCAAACTAACAAAGCAAGTAAACTGTTGTATTCAGGTTAAAGAGGTCACCCGGATATGGTTCCCCCTAGACTGCAGTTAAGCCGGATTGTAATTACCAAGTTCAGTTTCTATGAAGATTATACTGCGAAAGGTTCTTAAACAGCCTGAAGTCTCGACTAAAGGTCTTCAGACCCTCTCAATCTGACTCTCTAGCGGGCGACTAACCTCCACCGGAGTCGACAGATTGAGGCCCTAAGAACAAAACCTCCACTACCGGAATAAATCCGGTACAGAATAGTGAGTTGGCTCCTCGACTAAAGTCACCAACTCCCTACCTTCAATCAAGGATACTCTATTAACCTAGGCAGATGTTCTCATTCTAGGTTAAAGCAGAAACAACAGGAATTTGATCAGGATTCAAGTCATTCAATCATTAAAACCTCAATCGAATATAATCAATCACAGAATCAGTACTTGGGTTCATACAATCAAAGCCTAACATACAAATCTAGGGTTCTCCATACCCAGATGAATGGGAGAACTACTCCATGGAGAAGAAAGCAAAAGCAGAATCAGACACGGAATTCATACTGCGAAGGATGGATTCCTGCTTCTGGACGTTGATTGGCACTTCTCCAAGCTCAAGCTGGCCTCCAATGGTGTTGAAGATCAATCTAGGGCACTTGGGAACTCTTGCTCGTCACTTTCTCTCTCTAGGAACTGATCTCTCTCTCAAAAACTCGAATCCCCTCAATGTTGGCCTTCTTCTTCCTTTTATCAGCTGCCTGGTCGTGATACCCGGTCGAAATACCCGGTCGGGTATTTTGGGTTTCGACCGGGTATTGCAAAACTCACCGTTTCATTTAAGGGGAAAATCCCCGGTCTGTCCTCATAATCCCCGATCGGGGATTTAAGGCATTTGCCCGGGCCCCCTTCTGTTTCTCAGACGCCAAAAAGAGAAATCCCCTGCCTCTTCAGAAATATACCCGGCCGGGTATTTTCGGTCATGGCCGGGTATTTTCTTCCTCCAGCCCACTTCAATCCTCGTTTGCTCCTTTCGACCCGAATCTCGTTCCTTCGCCTTGATTCCAACGCTGGGTCCTGAAATGTGACATAAACACACAACCTCGCGTGAAATCGGCTTAAAACCCGAGAATTAACCTTTCAAACGGCTCAAGAATAGGGGTGAAAATACGTGTAATTATCGGTCTATCAAACTCCCCCACACTTAACCGTTTTCTTGTCCCCAAGCAAACCTAACTCAAACCAATGCAACTCTCCAGACCTCTATAGCAACAAACAACCCATATCGTAGGTAGAGGACTTCCTAGATCATTTAGCAGCTTACGAGGTCAACCGACGCACAAGTCATCTCCTAACTTCTTCGGCGAGAGCACTAATATCGAGTCGGCATCATGGCAAATAGTGAATAGAGGACAAATGAATCGTGGATGAAGAGATTCTCAAAAACAAAAGATCATGGACTCACATTTTTTCTAGGTGCTCTGTTTTCTTCTTGAAGATGGTTGGAACCCCTTTTTTTCGTTTAGCTTGTTTTCTGTTGTTTTTTTTCTTTTCTTTTCTTTTCAAGGGTCCCAACCTGCTCTTACCGGCCATGCCAGGAGCGGATGTCTCGAGCCTCGTGCGGGGGAAAGCCATGCAAGGGGGCTGGATGTAGTAGGTGGAAATTGGGAACAGATTCCCGTCTCCCCTTACACACTTTCGCCCTATTCGCACGGGAGACGTTATTTTGAAGCACATTTCTGAGCACCTGTTATTTTCAAAACATGATACAAGAGTCCACGACCGGTAGAGAATCCACAACACCACACAATTCAAGGGTCCTAAGATCACTAATTCACTCAATCAACCAACTCAATATGAAGAAGAAATGAGACTTCTTAAATGCATCAACATCCTCCATAGTGCTGCACTACCTCCCTAGGTTGCATATTACTATAAAGACTGTCAATTCAAAGCATACTGAGCAGGCAATTGCACGGAAACACGTACTTGGAGCCCTCAAATTTTAAAAATTTGGACAGTGAACTAGGCTCCAAGCACACAAACAGATCTAATGCAGTCAAAAGATAAACATCCCCCCACACTTAAGATCGACATTGCCCTCAATGGAGAAGAGGGAAGGATAAGGGAAACGATGTTACCGGTAGGCATGGACTGCAGGAGACTGGAAG